ATGGTGCTTTTAAACTGATGTTATGACTTATTAAATGGTCACAGTGTAGTTCAGACACACAGGTGACTTACCGGTTGTTCAGAACAAAGGTAAACACTGAGATAAATAATGCTCTTGCTCATGATATTTCCAGAGCTGAAGCCGGTTTGTGAGGAAACTTGCTCCTGCCACTTGTGTTGCAGTTGGTCTTCATTTATTCCCCAAACTTCGTTATCTGGGATGATCACTCAAGCGTATTTCAGAAGTGCAAATTTTGCCCATAGCTTTTAATATTTGTAAGTTCAACTCCTAATTCCCACTACATTACTCTTAATTTGGACAACTTGTAGTATTGCATGATTTTCTCCGCTTGAGAAAATTCTTTGCAATGCTTCCCGAATTGTAGTTTCACATTATTGAGAACCCTTTCCCTTGGCTTTTCTCTAAGCTGGTATACCTAGAGATACAGGATGCCCCCAGGTAAGCAGAAGAATGACACTAGTATTTAGAGTATGAAAGTTTAAGACAGTAAAAATTATGCCATTTTCCTCTTGTGTGGAGCTGAATAAAATTCAAAAGCCACATGCCGTAGAACTAGCTCTGTGTTGCACGAGACTGTCATTTTATTTTGCCCTCTCCCTTAGCATCTGAGAAACTGCAGCCGATTTTCTGTGCAATTAACCATCTTGTCTTTTCTACCAAGTCTCAAAGAAAACATCTCAGTCAGTAAGAGGACTCAAACTGCTGGCAAAATGCTATGTTTTTGAATACATAGGGTAAGCTTTTATGGAGAAAGGAGTTGTAATAAAATAAGCATTGGATGTATTGCTCCATAAATGCCAGTTTGGGGAATTTTCTGTAGCTTGTTTGGTAAGAATATATGCAAAATGCTATGGCCTCATTGGGAAGAGCACAGCATTACCAGTCACGCTGGCTTTACCAGATCATTTGTGTTGAAAGTTGATATGCATTTGAAAGCTCTTCTAGAGCAGAGACAGTGTTTGATAATATGACGTGACCCTGAAAGGTAGGTTTCATATTTTTACCTTTAAAAATCATATAAACTTAGAATTGACACCAAATCAAAGAGATGTTAGTCAAAACTCTGGTCAATAGACAAACAGAATAAAAGAACGAACCTTTTTTTAGCAGATTAAAATTGAGTATCTCCAGTAAAGGACATCTCATTACTGTCTTGCAGCCACCCACGGATGGTGTAAGGCAAGGTATGTTTATCTTCAAGACTGCATTTAACAGAACACCCTCATTGCTCACGGAGCTATCGGTATCTCTCCACCTGGCTATATTCAACTTCAGTGCTACTCTGAGAGCTTCTGGCCTGCCTCGTACTACTTTGGCTGATTGAAGCGAGTGTGTAAACATACACAGATGAAGTAAATAACCAGCAGAAAATACCTTCAGAAATTACAATTGTACTGCTGCCTTCCTTCTTGCTTAATGCTTGGGAGGTGCTGGGCTAGGGGAGTCGAGAGCTAGCTTCAGAAACTGAAATATAGAAGGGAACTTTAGTAATGAAAGGTAGAGATCAAGTGATGGGGGGAGAGGAACGATTAGAGGACCGGTACAGGGTGCTACGTGGGGTAGCAAGGCTGTGTCCTGTGTGGGCAGAACGTTAGCCTGCTAGCAAGATATTTAATTACCTAGAGATTAGTTGGCATTAGGATCTCTTAATTTAATACAGAGTTATTCACTGCAAATAATGTTTACAGCAGATTTTGAGTCAGAGGGCACAGACACAGCTCTGAATTTAAAGGAGAGTTTGAGTACTAAGAAATCTGGATCTGTAGTTTGGGTGCAGGCTTAGTCAAGGGTCACCTCTAAGCCTTGCACAGAAACAGTATTACCACTCATTCTTGAGACAATAGTGGTGTGTCACTACCAAGGGTAGGTTGTTACTGTCCTGGTTTCTATGACTATTTCAGTTATGTATGCACATAGACATTTTTAAAAGTGTTTCCAAACACCTAATCTACTAATAACTGTAAATACCTATCAGGCTTTCCTAGTTGTTTTTACTGTGAAATAGGGAGAAATTAAAAATGTAAATGCTTGAGATTAAAAATTTAGAAGGAATGCTGTATTCGCAAACATTAGTCTGTGCTAGGACCTTTGCGAAACAAAACGATTTTCAAATTGTCTCTTAAAAGGGTTTAGAATAATGCTCATGCAGACCATTCTGTAACGGCTCATCACAGGGTTCGCTGTATTTCCACCCTCCAAAAAAGCATGTAGCCACACAGTCTGTAGGAGGCTAGGGTGAAGGCAGCTGCCATTGCACGTGTCCCAGACCAGACCTCTCGGGGTCCCAGTAAAGCTTTAATCTCCTATTCCTCCTACCACAAACCCCAGGTTGCCCAGAATACTTCCCCCTCTTTACAGAGGGTCTCCACCACAGCGTCCGCCACCCCAGAGAATGCAGTGTGCAAGGCGATACTGGTGACAGTCCCCAAGACAAACTTCCTCCCTCCCCTCTTCAGGGCAGGGGCTTCTCTGGGCCGGTGGGGTTAGGGACACAGTACCTAGGACGCTGCCGGCCTCACGTGTACAGTGCAGAGTAGGGCCGGGGGCTTGGAGGTGATGTACCGGGTCGCTGCTGCCGTTCCACGCGTCCTGCCCTGCAAACACTCTCCTGGAGGTCAGCAGCTTCTGCACAAATATGGGCCTCAAGGAAGGGTAGGACCAAGCAAAGTGAGTCCACCAGGAAGGAGGAAAGGCGGTCTGCACCATATCTCCTATTCACAGAGAGCCAGTCCATGGTGAGTTTGGCATCCTACCCTATGTCTCACCCGCTCAGGAGGTCCCATATCCCCTTCCCCCTCGCCCTGGGGTTCACAAAGCCCCAGCTGTCATTTGCTAGGGGCTGAGTGCCAGCCTGGCTATTCCACCACTCCCACTGCTGCTGCAGCCATGGGACACTGTCCTCCTAAATGTCAAGCTATGGTTTCTGCTTCTGGACAGGCTTTCACAACCCTGGATACAAAATGTTGTTGTGAATCCACCTAGCTGGGATTCTCAAGTGCAAGAAAGACCAATATATAATGGTCCTAGCATCCTATCACAGAAAAAGAGAACGTCAGTCTCTCTTCCTTAAGCTGAGTTGTCTGTTAATATCTCCTTCCTGAAACTTCGTTGTATTGAATTTGGACAGTTGGAAATGAAAGTATCATCTGCTCTACATTATACATCAGCCTCTGATATGGAGAACATCATGTCTTAATAAGCAATATTTAAAAATAATCAGATGCTGATTCATTGAGAAAGCTCAAAGGGCCAGAAAGCAGATCCTCGGTGTGTGTACGTTATTGGAAGTCTGCTGAACTACAGCAACTTCTTCTGGCAGAGGGCCTGTGCTGCTGCTTGAGAAAAGCACATCTCAGGCTCTGCCTTGTTAGTGGAGTGTGCAGAAACAGCTTGAAATCTAAAAGTGTTCTTTTAGGAGTTCTGCTAGTGGTATTATGACCTTCTTTTGCATAAAACAGCTAATGTCTTTGCAGGCATGCAGATCTATTTTGAACTTGCCTCACAGTACTTCTTCAGTATTATTCACAAAACAAACAACATCCAAAAGATAATGACTATTGTACAATTGTTTGCAGAACTTCATTACCAAAGAGGTACTGTGCTTGCTGGGCAAATGATGTGTAGCACGGGCTGGAATCTGCAATGCCAATTCTTGATGGACTGATCTCAAGTGGTGCAGTTTTCTGGCTTTCCTTTGAGGCTGTGGTATTTTTCGAACTGAACACTGAAATTGTAACGTCATTCATTAAGTCACAGCCAACAATTTCAGCACAGAAACGGAGTGGCATCAGTAAACAATACGTATGATGGAAAAACTTGATAAAGGTTGTTCTAAACCTAATTATTTTCTGCTATGGCTATACCAACAACAACCTGTGCTCTTGGTTACTCTCTGCCTCAGGCCTCACATCAGCGAGGGAGGAAAGAATTGTATGAGCTTTCTTGAGGAGATCTTACTCCTTGTAGAAACGCGTTACTATCATGTTTGGTCTGTTCTGTTACGATCTGGCAGTTTTCTGGTAGGTTATGGGGATAGGACTGCCATTTGTCTCCATTTACCTAGCTGAACCCACTGTGTTTTCCACTGAATTGGCCACCAGACTTGCACGGCCCACTTTCCAAAAGGCAGTTTTCTGGTATCTTTACTGTGTGGTAGGGAGGCTTAAAAAAATAAAAGGTAGATTAATGCAGGGAAAGAAGTTCATTCCAGATTTTTATTTACATACTTGTCACTCCATAAAGTTGCAAATCAGTTGTGATACTGTCAACACAGAGGGAAGAAATCCCCAAATCCTTATACTACCTATGCATGGTCTTACATCTGAGATTACTTCTCTGTTATTGCACACAGCCAGATTACATTCAAAATTAGCTTAGTGAGAGAAGACATTGAAAGGAAAGGAGGATGGTAGCTGAGAACGGTCTGTCGTGTTTTTATGCAGATTCCGTTTCCCCAGCGCAGGACACGGCAGGCATACTCCAGGATCCGCAACTGCCAAGCGGGTGCCCCAGGAGCGGGGCGTCGGGAACCCACAAGCCCCCTGTTCTCCGGCTACGAGTGCCACGTGTGGCATATCCTCTCCTGCCGTCTCGAAGAACGCGTGTAAGTGGGTTCCCGGACAGCTGTGAGTTTGGGTTTTTTTTTTTCCACAGATTCCACCCATTTTTAGAGGCTGTGGCCTGGCTGGCAGGTTGGTGTATACCATGACGGGTGGAAATGGCACCCAGCTGACAGATCTTTGCATTCACCTGTGGCAGTAACGTACTGAAGCGTTTACTTGACCTCCCGCTCGCAGATCCATTAGAAGGAAAATTAAAAAAGGACCTTTTGGTGTGGGGTGTTTTTTTTTTTCCTAGGGCTCCCACACAGAACACCGGGAAGGCGGCAGCCGCCCTCAGGGCCGGCACCAGCCTGAGGGAGAGGGCGGGCGCCCCGCGCAAGTGCTGCTGGGAGGCGGCCCGCCCGCTGCCGCCGCCGCCATGGCGTTCGCGGAGGAGACGCTGAGGGAACCACTGCGCAAGGTGAGCACCACCCCAGCA